CAGAGAACACTATTTTGTTAATATAATTTGAGGAAACTTTGGTTGAAAATTAAACAGTTCCTTGGTCAGTTTGGATATTTTGTCACTTGAACTGGTACAGGTAATAAAATTATTGTTAATCTTCATCTTCTTCACAGTTTTTAGACTTTGTTATTGGCTTTTGATATCTAACCCCGTTCACAGTGCTTCCGGGCAATAGAGATAGGGGCCTTATTTAATCTAGCAAAGACGGTGGTATTAGTCCCCCACAAAAAAAAAATGCCAAGTGAAAAAAAGCCAAGTACAAGAAGGTTGGAGGTCAAGCAGCCGAGGATCAAAAACAAATCCGAACTTCCAGTTGGTGAATAAATCATCCTGGATCGGTCCACAGAAAGCTTTACAGTTTTCATTGATTTATACAGTCTCTTATTTATTAGTGAAGAATAAGAAAATAATAATAACTGTTTATTCACAAATCCAAATCGGAAAGTGAAAAGGAGATAAAAGAGGTTATCCCTTTCTAGTTTAAGGTGGGATGGGGTTAAAAGACGGGGCTTATTGTTAAAACTTTCTTTCACTGAAAAGGAGGGCTTATTTGAGAGAGGGGCCTTAATAGAGGATTTAAGATGTTGTTATTATTGTTTTTTTTTTTTGCTCTCAGATGTAACAAAAAGCATTAACCCCGCTTTAATAGCTAGCAAAAGGTGAAGAGTGTTTCCATTGTTTGTAATATAGCAATCCAAAATGTATTCTCCACTTTGAAATAGATTTGATTTTCAGAGCAAAAACTTCCTTAATCCCTGACTTTGGTTTATTTGACATATTACTTGGGGCTGCACTTTGCCATGTCAATGTGCAAATTGACTAAAGGCTAGACTCCAGTTCAAAAATTTGATAGTCCTATCTGAGTCATGTGCACAGTAAAAGTTCCTGTCTCATTTGGAGATAATAGATGTTTTAAGTCAAACACGCTTTGCTCGTCAGATGGGCCCTTTCGTACTCTAATTGAGACATGACTTGGTAGCGGTGTGCTGATTATCAATCATAATCTATAAAGCATCAGAAACCTAAAGCAAAGTGAGTATTGCTTATACAAATGTTCAGTTGATTGTTGTGGAAAATTCACAAAAACATTGTTGACAAATAAGGACATTAATACACCTGTGTTGTCTTTTGATGGGCTCTTAATGTAGTTTATATGTTGTTTAGTTGGTTTAACTATGTGACAGATAAGCCTCTGCTTGCAGGGTAGGTTTTTGTTTTGTTCACTTACAAAATTATTTTCAGTGTTGAAAGTGGCACACAGGGGCACAAAACTATAATCTACTATAATCGATTATCAGTTTAATAGTTGGGTTAATCTGATTATTTCTGACGATATGATTATAATACAGACACTATTACTAAGACTAACCAACACCTTAAAGTAGACTTTGAAAGTATTTAAGCCAGCACATCTAACAGCTGCAACCTCACACCGCAACACCTAAACAAGATAAAAGCCTTGCCTTGTCCCTGTGTGGCATTTTCCCAGGCCTTAATTCTTGGTCAATTCATTTCGGTGACTTATCTTAGGCAAACTGGAGGAAAACTGTTTCACTATTTCGCTTGGGACCACGTGACCTAAAACTCATTGGCCATGACTAGGCAACTAAAAGCTCACTATGCTAATGGGGACTCTGGCACAAAACACTTCAAAAAAGCCTTTGCATCTCGACATGAAAAATCCCATGATCGAGATGCTCCAGGCCCCTTCCGCTCTTGTTTATTCAGTGGATAGTGATATATGCACCCTTTGAAGTAGTTTATTTTTTAAATCCAAGGTTTAGAACTGAATTATAGCTGCTTCACAATCATACCCAGCTGGTGTTGGAATACTACAGCACCAGCCACTTTTTCACCTGGTCCACAAACCCCCTTTTCAAGGATATAGTGACAAGAACATCATGCAGTGACAAGAACAACATGCACACTTAACCTACAGTAATTAGAAGCTCAATTGACAGGTTTTAGTTTGACAGAAAACATATTTATCTTGGGGTCACTGTCACCCCATGTCTGGAATCTGGGAAATTTTTCTCTTGGAATCTGGAATAAAGGTCCTAAAGTACTCTGGATCCCACTTATAACTGGAATCCGGAATCCATGTTCCACTGACAAAGAATCCAGAATGTGGTATCCATGGCGCAAAATTGAGAATCCAAGACTGTCAGATTTCCTTGAATGGGCTGATCACTGTTTTCAACTTGATAAAATAAAAGACATCATGTGCTTTCATTTATTTTATTTTTGCAACTAGAAAGAAATCCCACAAGCTTCAATACATCAATATGTAAGTTTTTCATTTCTGAGAAAGGAAACAGTTTATTTTCCCAATGTCTCTGTATTTAGCTGTATTTTACTGCCACTGAAATGAGCAAACAATAATAAATTATCATTATTGTGACACTAAAAACTGAATAAATGAAAAGTCAGGATTAAAAATATCAAATGATAGCGACACTATGTTTGGCTTCAATTTTTAGTTTTGTTTCGACATCTGCCTCTCTCGTTCCTCGTCCCCCTTCAAAATCACAGTGGAAAATTAAAAGAAGGCCAGGTTAGGCCCATGAATGTTACGATCAAAGGAAAAGAATGTTTCACTTGACAAAAAACTGCTGAGACAAAGCGCAGATTATGCAAGATTTCCGTATAACCACATACATTAATAATATTAAGCATACAGCTTTTGTTCAAAGAAAACAAAAGGCAGAACAATACTACACCTTTGCAACGGGCAGCTAAATTTATTGATAAGCTGAAGCCTTGCAAGTATTCTTTCACAAATCGGGAATTAAAGAAACAAATCTTTAGTAATTTTCGGAACACACAAACCAAATAGCACGAGTAACAGAAATACCTCTACGCGTTATAATATTCCCAGCGATTACCAGATATCTCTATATTCGAATCTTTGCCTTCCAACGGTATAGTCACAGTTTTCCGAACAATCAGACCTGAATTCTGTCCACCTTTTAGGTCTCAAACACTGAAGAAAGCACTTCTCAGCCTCTACGAAGCCCTCAAAGGTTAACCATCTTTGTTTTGGAAGGAATAAACCAATGAGAGCGCACGTATGAACGCGCTATGAAATACACCAATCAGCGATCGTTTTAGTTCGCTGTGTGCCAGGGTCTTCTCTCCTGCCGCCGCCATATTGGAAAGCGAGAAGACCCTGGGGACGAGGTTGGGACATTAAGCGCTGAAATAAATCTTCGGGGCGTTCGTCGACCTCAAGTTTGATGTTGGAGAAATCTAGGAAGCGTGCACCAGTAGACTGGAAGCCATAGTGGGCTCTTATGGCTTGCCAAACGGAGCTGATGGAAGTTGAATTTTTCACGATGGAACTACGTGAAATAACGGGGCAAAAGTTGGCGATCTGGCCTAACATGAGCTCAAGGTGTAAGTTTTTCTGAAAGGCAGTACGTCGGCAAGTGGTAGGAACGTCGTCGCCATCAGGCTCGAGTCCTCTGTTGGGAGCAGTAGAAGACTTTTTCAGCCACGTAAAATTGTCAGCTAAAAACGGGACAAAATTAGCATCGAGAGAAAGGGAATATTGCAGATTCTGTCTTCAAGCTTCGAATGTAGTAATGGTTTCGTTCTTTGTGAGGGACCACTGCTTTGGAGCTCTATTAGAATTCATGATGTGACGAGAAGGAAAGGTGAAGCGATACTCTCCTTGAGATGAAAATAAAGGCTTGTAAGAGTTCACTCAATCGACCACTGGATAGGAAGACTCGTCGTTGCTTGGATCAGCGAGACGGTTCACAGGCTCTCGGAGACGTGGATAAGGAGCCGCTGCCACCACGCCAATGTTGAGGAGACAGGAACGTCACAATGAAGGAACTCTAACAGCTTTAATGTCAACGGAATCGCTTGTACAACAAGATGGATGCGATAATCACACACACGAGGGAAAACCGGCGCGCGCATATAATATAACACAATGCCGCAGGCACTGCCTGTTGGCGCAGCTACAATTACATTGGGTCTTCAGGACATTTTGTTGACAGGAGAAGTGCAAGTTTAAGCTTTCTGAGATCATCCGACATTCTAAGTAAAATAAAGATTTTATTCATTCATTCTGGTTCGTCACGCAACGCTCTTCTCCGGTAGCCGGGATCATTGTGTGACGAGCGAAACTCGAGTAACGCGCGCTGGTGCCAGTGAGAGAATCGGCTAAATGACGCGCAAAGTACTTTGCTACTAAACTGAGAAACTAATTGCTAAAGAAAATAGCAAAGTTTTAGGGTAAGGACTGTACGCACAACTGAAAAGATGATTGGGTAGTACCTTAGGTGGCTTTTAACGAGGAATATTCAAGTGCACAGATCTAAATTAAAAGCGATGCAAAAATTAATGCTTAGGTGGTATTAGGCTTTGTGCCGTTTAAATTCACCACTTACCACGTAAACGAGGATTAAGGGAAGTGTTTATCTGCTCCGTAAGCCCTGCCAGCCACGATAAAAATCCTATTTTAAAAACTTGCGATCTCCTGTTAAGAAATCCAATGTCGGGCACTGAAGCCTCGTTCTCCTCGTTGTCCAAAAACACCACATTTAAGGTATCAGCCACCCTTAAAATTGCCATTTTCCCATATTTGAGGTTTCAACGTTTTCAAATAGATATGCTTGAGAGCTTTCTTTTAAAACAAAAATCAGAAGAAAATATTATTTCTGTCAAAAGATATCGGGGGTAAAAGACTTTTTCTCGTTAATTATCTTAATTGATCGTTGACAAGTTCTGTCATACGCGTGTCATATATCAATTAACTTGCCTGTGAACTAGTAGCTGATACCGAGTGCGTGCTTCGACACAACACGTGCGAATTGTCTTCGCGTTGTCTATAGCCTTTAGTCTTCTCCGTGGATATTTAGCGTTTGCTTCGGTGAAAATGCCGCCAAAAAAAAGAAAAGGTCGTGTCCGTTTTCGTCATCGAAACCGAGAGGGAAAAAGAAATCGAAGAGCGAGTTTGACAAAGAATGGGCAGCAAAATTGGCAGAGAGCGACAAAGGCTCATTTTATCAGCAAGCAGGCCTGATCAGCAAGAGAAGTGGCTCGAGGAGTTGGATATTCAGAAAAGCGAAAATGCTGCAGTTGCTGAGAGTGCAAGCCGCTCCAAAATCCAGCCGTGGAAAACAATAAGCGGTTGAGCTATCGTATCGAGCGAAAAGCTGCTTGAGAAACTGGACGAGTCTGTATCTTGTCGATTGCCAGGGAAGAGTCCAAGTCATGGAAAATGTAGCGACTAAGCATGGACTTGGTTCCACCTGGAGAATCCAGTGCGAGAATGAAAGCTGTCCGTCGCACAAGGCAAATTCTGTTTTTAATTCTTCCGAGAAGAGCAGAGCGTTTGAAATAAACCGGGCCTCAGTTCTTGGCCGTCGAGCAATCGGTGGTGGACATTCAACGGCTTCAAAGTTTTTTAGTTTCCTTGGCCTGGCGCCGATCAACAAAAACGCCTGAGCGGATCGTACGAAAAAGATCGAAGGAGAGGCAAAACTTTTGTTCGAGAAAGAATTAAACCGTGCTTCTCGTGATGTAAAAGAGTGGAAGTTTTCCTGTTACATGTTACCTGTCAAAGTCCTATTGTTAGAGAAAATTGATCCCTCTCTGATATCAATAAGAATAAACATTTAGGTGTTATAATCTCATTCCAGGTAGGATGCCACCAAAAATGTATTGTCTATTTTATCTCCGAACGCAGATTTTGCCGATTGACTCGTACGTTTTGAACTCCAAGTCGGCAGCCTTTCAATCAATTTGGCTAAAATTTGGCCAGAGTGATGCCATATATCTCTTCTACAAAACCGTGTCTGCGAATTTTAATACTCCTTTTCATTTTAAAGCTAGAGCTTTTTTTCCACAGGGAGTGTTGACTAATTGCCTTCCCCAACTTCATTTGCTAATAAAAGAAAAACAAACGCACTTGTCAAAAATCTGAGACACGGTTTTTTAGTGGAACGTGTTAAAAAGCGAATGCGGTGTTAATTGTTTTCTTCCGTTTATTTGCAGCGGGAGTGGAACATGATTTATAGAGACGTGTACGTTTACACAAAGCGTTCCAATTTCGAAACACACTTAAGTAAATCGTTTTTGTTAGTTCAAATCCATAATCTGGAATTATTAAGCTTTTAAAAAATATATGGTTTATAGGGGTTTTTATAAAAACGACTAACGCTACAGCGATCCGCGCGCGGACGGTCCTGAAGGGTGGCTGATACCTTAAGACTCGATCACCTTCCACCGTGTGTTTTCGTTCCGCTTGCTTTTGAATTGCGCTAAAAGTTTTAAACTTTCCAGTACATAAACAACGTTTCTGTGAAAACGTAAAGCGCAGATCCTTGTCGTTGTCAGCTATAACGGATTCGTTAATATCTCGCCGTCGATTTTCCTGTAGCATTGAAACTAGAAATTTGTCGAGTAACATTCCTTGTCAATCACATAGGTTATGAGAATAAAGGACATGATCACACAGCGCTTGATACAAAATAACTTCTCCTAACCATTTAAGAGGGAAATGTGTGAGGACAGGAAAAAGGAATTTACTTTTGATATGTGAGTTGAGTACGGGTCTTCTTGAAACAATGGATTCTGTTTTATGCAACTATCAATGTAAATCCCGTGAGGGGGGAGTGCGGGCAAGGGGCGGGGATTTGATGCCTGAGACTATCCCCCTGTCGGGCTTTTGATCGTGCGAAGCGACCCCGGGGTCGGGACATTTGACTTTGACCGACAGAAGCCTGGTATAAATTCAGAATCGGTTACCAAGTCCGTCCCTCGAGGCTTTCTGAAAGTCACGCTGTTGGAGAAAGGTATGAGGTTAATAATGTCTATTTTGAGAAAGATTTTATCTTCAAGTTCCCATCTGATTGTAAAACTCGATTGAAATCGAATTCCACCATGAAAGTCAGAGGATTTTTTACTGGTCACTGATCTGACCTGTTCCGACATGTTGAGCAGATGTTATAAAGCATTTTACGTTTCATTAATATTATAATAGGACAGTCAATCTTCCTGGAGTGATTTTGTTGTTCAAAATAGGAGATGCTAGTGGAGAGAGAAAATACTTAATTACAGCGAGTAATTTAACGGAGCTTACGTTAACCATAAATAAAAGTAGTAAGAACGTACTTTTGAAATATTCTTTTAATTTGTTTTATATAGTGTTATAGTATTGTTTGTTTAGATTTTTTCCCCTGGGGTGGGGGCTTTTTGACACTTTTGATCAACCTTTCGTTTCCCACCCTGGGGAATTTGATCAAAAAATTTCAAAATTAGTCAAATCCCCACCCCTTGCCCGCACTCCCCCACGGGGTTTACATTGATAGGTGCATTATTTAGAGACAATTCTTACGTACCACGTGCTACCTTCCGAAACGGAAGTCTTTTCCCGTGAATGAAAACATGGACTCAAACGAGCGCCAGGAGTTATGCAAAAAAGGAGAGTGAGTATTCCGATTAAGGGATGGAAAGTATCTTTCAAGAGCGCATTGAAAAAGAGAGAAAAGAAAGCAAAATAAGGCATGGCAGAGGAGAAAATGGGAGGAAGGATTGAAGAATGAGAACTTTCGTGTACCAGAAAGAGAGAAGTTGCCACAATAGGAGTAATATGATGAGAAGACTCGTGGACCAGAACTACAGAAGATGCCAGAAGAGGGAGAGGAGAATGAAAAGATTCGAGAATCAGAAAGTGAGAAGGTGGCAGAACCACTGCCCGCAAACGGATCGAGGCCAACAAACCAACTCCAAAGGCAAATACGTTTTCCAGAGGAAAGGTCATGGTCAAATTATCACATTCGAAGTTAAAACGGAAAGGTCGTACCGAAGAGAAAGCAAAAATTTCACGGAAACAAATCTAAGTGAGCTTATCTGGTTCTTCAGTTCCACGCTTTGCGCAGTGAAAGCGTAACACTTTTTAAGGCCCCTTCGGAAAAAGTTATTCAAGATGTTGCCATGTGCGCAAATAACTTAAACCAAACATGCGAGTTACTAATGTTCATCCATGAAAGAGGTTTCTTGCACAACGATCTGAAGAGCAATAATGTTGTCATTGACGGATCGGAAAACAAGCCCGTAATTATCGATTTTGGAAAAAGCTGCAAGATTGTTAAAGCCAGGTTACGTAAACCCAAGGTGAACATTGAGAAATCGATGAACAAATTTCCGCACATCGTACCGGAAGTACATCGCGGTGAAAGGCAGTCCATCGCTAGCGACGTGTTTTCATTTGGCTACACTCTTTTTTTACATAAGAATATATTTTATAAGAATATCGAGGCTGAAATTTGCGAAATTTTAAGAATATTTTAAGAATAAAGCCAAGGCTGAGATTTTGAAAAGGATAGATATAATTTCGTGTGTTGAAACATCTGTAAATACAATACAATTTTATGTTTTTAACTAAACCGTATAAAATTATTCCTTTCTCTGAACGGCGAAACTAGCCAACAAAACAAAAAAACCTGCACTAGCTATAGCAAAATGTTCAACACTAATGACAGTTCGATGAACGGTACATGTAATATATATACATATACCCCAATAAATTCTAAAACGGAAATGTCATAAGCTATAATTTAAGAATAATGCAAGAATATTTTCAGCCTAAAATCGGCAGAAAAATAAGAATATTCAGCCTGGGCCGGAAAAACGACATTCTTATAAAAAAAAAAGAGTGTATCTGGTCACTCATTTATTTAAAGACGTTAAGCTAGAAATTACACCAGTCCTGTAGGAAGTGGCTAAGAAATGCAAGAGGTCAATCCCAGGAAAACGTCCTAAACTGGTCGACTTTTTCACCATCCTGACTAAATTATCATAAATGATTTTACAGTGCGCTCGATTGACCGTTGTCCGATGTCTTTCAACCTTTTGTAATACGTCAATTGGAAGAAGACTTACTGAAAAAATGCTGAAAATCACTAATTTTTGGCTTTCATTTACAATCCAGAGTGTGCTGAGAATTTATACTTGAGGCCAATGTTTCATCTAAGTGGTGCATAATTTTCGGTCGAAGAGATTTTTTCTAATTTCTGCGTGTTATTATTCCGGAATTCGATCAATCGAACCGCTTTCTTATTGAGGTGGTCAAACGGGCATCATTTTTTCTTGCACAAGTCTCATCATGATCACATGATTTCTTCAATACAAGGAGAAACCACTTTTCAAATCATTGCGGAAACTTAATGAACGTCGAAAATGGGTTACTCGATTAAAATTAAGCCTTGAAAGAAATTTCTTTCGCCGTCTAGTTCGGCCATTTTTAGTAGGTTAGCCCTATAACCTCCCCTGTGCAAGGAGGGAAACTTCTCGTGCATCCTTCTTTTGTTCTTTTTAGGAACTGTGTAACTTATGTAAATATGTGATATATTTTTTAACGCCTTTGCTACAGAAATTATGTGCATAACTTGCGAAGTTGTTGACTTAACTAGTTTATAGATATATGTGTTATGATATTCACGCGATTCTGCAAGGAAACTGAACGCTTTTTGAAATTTTGTTACATTTCTCCGGTTTTCTGCGGTTTTCAACAGTCAGACGAAACCATTGCATAATACTTATTGTCGATTATGCTTATGCTGCCAACGTGACAGAAGTCGACCAAGGATTATTAATCTCACCTTGTTAACGCTTAGAGTTAAAGGAACAGTATCCCGTTACTGCGCATGCATCAAACTTTAATTTTTGGACAGGATGTCACAATATCAAAAGATGCGAGGAGAGTAAGAGAACCTTGAAAAATCCGGTTGCATCGCGCTTGGCCGAGTTCAATTCTACACTAAAACTTCTCAGGATTACAGATCAATGACACATTGTTCCCGTTAAGTTTCGACTTGGGCGAAATCGGGACTTTTGGCGTTACTTTTAGTGCCGTTGGCCGGAGGACCAAAAGATGGGAAGCGCTTTGATGGCGATTGAAGGCTTATTTCGCTTCTGCCAGCTTCCATACAAGCTCAGGTAATAGTGAAAGGAATACACAGAAATGAAACAGCAACAATAAAGACTGTAAGAAAGAAACTGTTGAGACATTGATGTGACTGAGGAGATATTGTGGAATTAAGCTTCGTGAAACAGAATGTTTTGCAACGACGCGTTAGTAAACTTTCAAATTAACCTCCCTATGGCCTACAAAATCAAACAAACAGGCGCTACATGTTTAGAAAAACTGGTGCAATGAAATCATATAATTTTTTGACTAACCTTTGCGCTGATTCATAGCGTTAAGATTGCATTTATATTTATATCTTTCAAACGTTTGAGGCTAGACCGCGAGCAAATCAGGCAAATATTACTGGACTTGGAACAACTGACCTCTGACACGAGTTTCACATTAGAAAAGCTGTTTTTAAAGCGAGCGGAACGAGATTTTTGGGTCGCGAGGCCGCCCTGCTAGCAATAAAAAGGCGATGAGTCTTCGTGCCGCGAGCCAAATTTTAAGGGACGAACCATTAGAAAAGTTATTG